TTTTTTTTTTTTTTTTTTTTTTTGTGAACTGTTCATATATAAATGTGGAAAACGGACAAATGGCATTACCATGTGCTGAGCAGAAAGAGGCGAATATTTTTAAAAATATGTTGCCAAAATGTTTAATCAAAAAAAGGGTGCTGATTCGTGAAATTGTAGACCACACGTTGTCATGTTTTGTTTTTTGTCTACTTTAAATCAACTTTAATTCTGCATAAAATAACAGTTCGATTGTAGAATTTTGGAAAGTAGAAAAAAAAACATACACGGGATTTATTTCAGTTCCCATCTGCGCCTTCTAAATGGTCTTTTAAAATTGCTTTAATATTAATTTTCCACAAGCGCTAAAATTAGTAGCCATTTATTTTGCAGCACACTCACACCCTTTCGGTGAAAATGACTTTTTAGAAAAATATATGTACCTTACTGATAATGTACACCTTTGTCAAGCCTTCTTGTGATAACATTTGTACGTTACAATGTACAGGTGGGCGCAAAAAAAAAGGAAGACATTCTCGTAGGGGGGTAATGAGAGGTACCTGTTAATGTGGAAAACATTGCGCTTTGTAAAAAGGCCATTTGTCAGAAGAAAAAACATCCTGCGAGAGCGCATGCGTGATGTGCACGATGGGAAGAGCATTTTTTCACGCGCGATCATTTATTTTCTATTGGTACCTTGCGTGGAGAGGGCAATTCGCCAAGCGAAACAAAGTTTGGGGATCTTTCTATAACATGTTTGAAACGAGTTTGTACCATTTTTTTTTTTTTTTTTTTCCCTTTTTTTCGTGTTTTCTCTTTTTTTCACTTTTTCCGCAAAACGTTAAGACAAAGGCACCCGAATGACGGAACGGCGAAACATATAGTGCGCGAGAGTATCCAAGCAGATGCACAGCTTATCGCAAATCTGCACGCCAACCAGTGCAGAAACGTAAGCGTTCATCAGAAGGACCAGCCAAAGGGAAGTAAATAACAATGAACTACCAAGTGTAAAGAGGAATAAAAAAAAAAAAAAAAAAAATGCGCGTTAACCTAGTCGATGGAGAAATTGATGCTATAGAAGAGGGGAACTTGAAGGGGAAAAGTAAAAATGGAGAATATGTGCAAGGGAATGACGAATCAAATGGGTACACAGAATTGGGAAGAAAATCCCAAGTGCAAAAAGACTTAACGAGCGAAAGGTATCGCATACGTGAAAACTACATAGGTTATAAGCAAACGTTCCATGAAAAGGGGAATCTGGTTGATATCAAGATGGAGGGAGAGTCCAATGCTAAGGAGGATATCTGGTTGCAATCCCCCCACAACGATACAGAACATTACAACATCATGTCCAGCACTGAAACAGTGGCGTCTTCAAATGATAGTATTGCGGACATGTACGAAACAAACTACAAATATTTCTCAGTGAGGAAATCTTCCCTCAGTGAAGACTCCCTAGGATCAGCATCCGACGGGCAACATAATTTAAAGTTGGACAAAATCAAGCGCAGCAAAAACGGTATATTCGAAGAGGATAGACGGATTCTTAGGCTTCCCAAACTGTATAGAACGTGTGAACCCCTCAATGGGAAGACACGCACAGAGGAAAACGCTTTATCAAAGGATGCCAAGGAGGAAAAACACAAAAGAGACGACCATGTGGTGTACCTACCAAACCGCGTCTACCTGCAAAGAAGCAATGGGAAGGTTGTAGAAAAGAATAGCATAAGCAACTTCAACCCGCTAGTCCATGTAAGTAATATGAACTATTACTGTAATCCTTGTGCAAAGCAAAACGGTAAAGACAATCACTTCACTTATGACTGCACGTATGATAATCAAAATGGATCATTGCGGTATCGCTGTCACCCCTCGTGTGAGCAGCATGACAGCAAGTGTCTTCATGAAGGAGACCGCTTTAAACAAAATGAGGGTAATTTTTATATGAACAAAAAATGCTCACTAGAATTTGATAATTATTTGAAAGGCATGTACTTCACGAAGAGGTCCTATATGGAGGCAGAACTGAGGAAAAAATGCAGCCATTATTTTCTACCCCTTAGAAGGCCCTTCCGTGATGATGGTTCTAGCGGGAGGCCCGTTGCCTCTGGTGGCCTCCTCCGTAAGCGTGAAAGTGGTTCTAGCGGCAGATTTAGCGATGAATCTAGCGGCAACTTCATCTTCGGATTAAGCGCTGACCCTGTTGACCCTGGTGAGCGGCTCAACGATGGGACCCACCCGCACGGGGAAAAGCATCAAAACGGCTCGCACAACCTGAGAAAGGGACACAAATGTAATGGGGACGAATATCACCCAGGAAAAAATGCCGACCACGAGAGCCCATCATGTCCGAAAAGAAATAATTTATTTTCCCAATTGCTTAAAAATCTCAAGCTGTTGGGATATGCCATATTTTTTTGCTTCTTCATGAGCAACGGAAATAAGGAAATGAAGGAAAAACAAAACTCCACGCGCAGCGGGAAAAGAACCTTTCCCCACTCGTCCTCCCTTAAGAGTGAAAGGATGCGAAAACAGAGCCTCCAAGCGGAGCTGAAACAGATCGCATCGAAAAAAAAGACGCACAATATGCAAAAATGAAAGAATGGTTCGAAGGCCAAAAATAATCCAAACAAATGTGCAGATGATTTTTATAGTCTACGTGGGAACGGATTAAATGAAGACACTCTAGTAGGAAAATGGAAACGTATATGAGTTGGACCAAATTGTAAATAAAAGGGTAACGCAGAATTGGAATTCGCGCGCAAAAAAAAAGGAACAAATAAATTTGCTGTTTTTTTTTTTTTTTTTCTCAAAGTTGCACACAAGTTGGTACACGCACATGGCGGAGAAAAATTGGCCTTTCAACGTGCATAACTGGGCATTTGTAAAATACAGTCCGGGAGGGATCTCCATCCATCGATCTGTCCATCCGTTCATTAACACAAATTATGCTCACACGTGTGACACGACAACGGGGAAATAAAAAAACAAAAAAAAAAAATTTTCGCTAGCTCTAGGAGGGGGGTATTTAGCGCGACGCGACCCCCTTTTTGTGTGTAATAATAAAATGAAGACTAAACAAACTGCAGCATTGGCATGTTCATCACAGTAATGACGAATGGTACCCCCTCTTACCCTGGAAAGGTGCGCATAAAGCCTGTGCACACATTTCAGCTCACACCTATTTGGAGGCTGTAAAATGTAATTAAACCATATCGCCCAGCGCAGCAAATATTTCTTTTAAAGCTTTCGTGTCATCAAAGCACATGTTATGAAGACTCATGGCGAACATAATCGACTTATACTTCATCCGAGCTGCATGGTCCTTCATAAACTGAGTACAGAACATTTCCAAGTAGGGATGATTCCTTTCTCCAAAAATGATTTCCGTTTCTTGTTCCACCGAGAAGGGCATAATTATATTGTGAGAATGTACCCACACAGCAAATTTCCCATTGGGCGAGATAAAAAAAATGTTATAATTTTTATAACAAACGAGGGTGTATACATACGTTACTATTTCGTCCTTGTGATGAATATTCACCGTTTTTTTTATTACCTCTGGGATGGCCTTGCTTGGGGGATCTTTTCTCTCAGATAGCTGCCCATTTTTTTTTTTGTCACTCAGCATGCCATTGTTTTCATGCGTGTTGAGTTTTTCCATTGGGTTATTTACCACATGGCAACTTAGGCTGCTCATCATACGGTTGTTATCTTCTATGTCTTTTGCGATAAAGCAGTTGGTATGACTTGTCCTCCCGTTGCTGATAGGACACTCGTCGTTCCGCTTGCTGTGTGGGGATGTTTGTTCGTCCGCCATCGTTCCGTTTCATGTGTGATTTATCTGTTATGCAGCAAGTGGGCACGTATGAATGATTAAAAATACGTATGCAGTGTTGGTCAGATTTGTACCTACAAACTAGCGCGCCCAGGGCATGCCTTCCTCCCCTTGGCTTAACTTTTCTACACCAGTAAGTTATGCGCAGGAACGACTTAAACTTAATGTCGCTTTTTTATGTACTAAAGGAGATGCGCAATATTTGTTCGTAAAGAAATTTGTTTTTTTCTCAATCTCTCTATATGTGAAACAAAAAAAAAAAAAAGAGAGAGAGAGCAAGAGCAGCCTTTGCAAACAGTGCAACTTTTAAACGCTCACGTGTGAATAGTCTTAAATTATGCGAACAATCCGTTTTGGCCGAATTTTTTTTTTTTTTCTGCACAAATTATCCCCCCAATTGTAGTTCTAATATTCAATGTATCTTCCTTCCAACCGTCGGAGGATATCCCACGCGTGTAGGATTCTCGTGGTGGGTTCATTTACATACCGTTCGTATGTGTTATAGGATGAGGACGGTGAGTTATGCACTTTTTTTTTCAAGTTGGCGTTTTTTTCGGGTCGAACTGACCTACAAAGCGGGAGTCATTCCGCATCTTTAATCTCTAATGCATGTCGCTATACTTTGTGCTTGTCCCCTCCCTGAGGTACCTCCATCTGAGAATTTCATATTAGGCACGCGTAATGTGGAATTGGGAGGGGGGGGGCGAATGCAAGTGCAGCGGGGCGTACGAAGTGCATGAGTGAGTGTTGCCCTCGGTGGATTCCCTTCTCGTCTGTTTTTTTTCAGTCAAACGCCTTTTTTTTTTTTTTTCCTGTTTCCTATATGGTTCCAACTTGGAAGTCATGAACGGTACATTACTGGTGGGGATAATGTATGTCCCTGCCCCGCATGCATGGGTGTTCTGCATTCTCTGTTTTTTCTGCCGACCTGCCCATGTATTTTTCACTGCAGTTGCTGCGCAACACACATATGAAAAATTTCCGTTGTGTGGATAAGAAGAAAAAGGGTACAAATTTTTACGCCTTCCAAAGTGATGTGCACAATTTGGGTATAGTTCTTTTTTGTGGGCCCCCCTTTTGCCACTTTGAAAATTCCAACCGTCTGCACATTTCTGCCCGTGCGTAGAAACACACCTCTACGAAATGGTAAGAAGTGAAAGGAAAACTTAAGCGCTCACATTTTGATCTACACAATTTATTCGACCATAAATTTTATCGAGGAATGGAGGAAGTGCTACAAAGTGTAGGAAATCATCTTAGAAAGCGGATTAACAAAAAAAGAAAAATAAAATACAAAGCAGAACAGAACAAAACAAAACAAAAACAACCAGGTGCTGCAATTTTTCAACACGTGCCTGCGTTATGTTTGCAAAAAAATGTAACTTTAAAGGGGGTGAAATAAATCAATGTGTTTTCCAAACAGGACTGGGTGTTTTTTTTTTTTTTTTTTTTTTTTTTTCTTGGCAAGATCCACCACGTGGGAATATTCTGCCAGAAGACAATCCCTTGTGTGATGGCTGTTTCTGTTTCGTACAAAATGGGTGACCATAAAAGTGGAGGTTCCTCCGAAGAAGGAAAAGAAGAAAAAAGACAAATCAGTTGGTAATTATGTAAGAAAAAAAAAAAAAAAAAAAAAAAAA